GCACTTCATTTTCAAAGCATAGGAGTAGAAGTAAGTAATTATTACTTTGATTGTTCACTCAATCATCTTTTTTCGTCTCCCTCATTCTTCTTTTAATTTTTCTTTTTTCTACACTTGGCAATTTTGAAGTCCTCTTTGTTAAGGCAACAAAAACCGTCAACGCAGTCGCTTGATAATTGGCTTGAATTTAATCTGTAAGGATTTTTCAATCCTTGCTGGCACGCTCGCATTTATGATATTTTCCTTCGTAGGAAAAATAAGCCAACAATACGAAGGAAAATATCATAAATGTGAGCGTGCCAGTAAGGATTGAAAAATCCTTACAGATTAAATTCAAGCCAATTATCAAGCGATTGCGTTGATGGTTCTTTTGCCTTAACAAAGAGGACTTCAAAATTGCCAAGTGTAGAAAAAGGAAAAATTAAAAGAAGAATGAGGGAGACGAAAAAAGATGATTAAGTGAACAATCAAAGCAATAATTACTTACTTCTACTCCTATGCTTTGAAAATGAAGTGCATAAGATGCTTCAAAAAGGAAGTGCTGAAAATAAATGCTTCGAAATATAAATCTATATTAAACTACTCCTAAGATAAGGAAAATGACAAGAAACATTGAAGTCAATTATCTTTGATTTGAATTCTGGATCTTTTACAATGTAGCCATGAATGACTATTTATAGGCAAATATTTGTAGGAAAAAACTTCCAGCAATAACTACCCAATAACCACCTAAAACTACCCACTCTTCCATTTTCATTCCCACAATGCCACATATCCTTCCATGTCTTCATAACTTCCTTTAACCTCCAATTCATGCTCCATGTTCTCTACTTTATTCTCCATCATTTTTTCGCATTTCATAACTTCTCATAACCTCCAAATGAGTAGGAGAATGCCACATGTCCTGCAATTATATAAATAATAAATAATAATAATAATTACAGATTTATGGTGCCAACATTACCCCCACGCGGCCTTTAAAAATGATGTTTACTTGAATTTTTGAAGGGCCGAGCTAAGCACATGACTAATCTAAGCAATAAAATGCTTTGAATAATATCAACAAAGTGCTTCGAATGATATAATATCACCAATAAAGTGCTTTGAATGAGCATGAAATTATGGCTAGATGTTGCGAATTATATATATAATTGAAGGGATATTATTACAGAAAAGCTTTGAAGGATAACCACATATTTTCAAGGCAAAACTCATGATTCACCTTAGCAAACGGTTACACATGCTAAATAACCAACTTTGAAGGTGGTATAGAGGACCAAAATCATCATTCAGAGGTCAAAAGTGCCGACAAATGATGAATTACATCCTTGGAAATACTCAGCAAAGCTTCGAAAGTTTATAACCATCACTATTTTTTCTTCGAAGTTGTTAATGATGCAAGATGGAGTGCTTCGAAACTTACAAAATTATGACAAAAGGGCTTTTGAAGCAACTTGTGGCCAATATTGTGGTTATTCAAATTTTTTATATTTTAGTTCACACATAATTAATAAAAATATTAATTTTATGCTTCGAACCAATTATTAATTCTCCGAAGACACCAAAACCGTTATTCTTTGAACTAATTTTTGTAAAATACTAGTTACATTTTCATGTAACAAATGGCTATAAAAATATTTATCGGTAAAGCCACTAATTATCATGGCAAAATAGGCATTATTTGACAATTAATTAATTGCCATTTTACATATATTTGAAGGGAGGTACACATTTCGAAAGCCTTCTCGTTTCATGTTACATTTCGAAGGTGTTTATTGATGACAAAACCACCATTTGAAAGTCATGTATGTTATTAAAGGATCAAAGTTGTCCTTCGAGAGTGCTCACGACATCCCTTCGAACCAAATCCAAAGAGTTGGATTAACAACCCTCACATGTTCTTAATAACATGCTTCGAAGTGTCTTGGGACATGTTTCGAAGGTAACCACAAAACCAAATGGTGATGGTTTTATGGATCAACTAATAACCATATTTTTGGCCCAATATATTGCAATAACAAAATATTATTTGTTAGTCATTCCATCGAAGTCAACGTTTGCTATGATCCACAAATCCAATATGGATTTTGAAAAACAAAAATTATGGTATAGTGTGACCATGAAAATTCATACTTTTTGACATTTTGAAGAACAAAAATTTTGAATTCATGAACAGTGACTTGTTCATTCTTCTTGACTATGTTTGGTTTAAAAACATGACTTTCACTGAATTGATTTTCATAATTATTTAGCAAAGTGGGCTATTTTTTCATGTTAACCATTAATGGCTTATGAAAATCCCCCATAGGTATACTATTTTCATGACTTGACTCTTTAAAAAGTTTTTGAACCGCCCGAATCATGCATGGAACATTATTCTTAGCCAAATTTGGCTCAAAAACATGCTCTTTCATTATGTTAATTTCATAATTTGGCTCGTTTAACATGGGCTCTTGAACCCTCTGAGTCATTGATGAAATCAACTCTTTACTTTTGCTATTTTTAACCATGGAAAAATTTTAAAAAATTTCCCCAATTCCGACCATTAAAGCTTCAGTTAAAGACTTGGTAGTGAGAGTTGATAACTTATCATTCCATTGGCGAATTTTCATATTAAGTTGATGAATTTCTCCAATTAAATGGTGTCTTTTTTCTTCTACCAAATAATATTGTAAGGGATGAAAGTTTATTTCATCAAGAAAATGGATCTCTTCTTAAAGATTCAAAATTTTTTTGTTTACGCCAATAGATTTTATCTAAGCTATTTGAAATGGATAAATCCAATTCATTTTTCATTTTTTACACTTGACATCCCACCGGGCGTGCCAAAAGTATATGTTGGTTTTTTAGCTTTCGAAAGTTATTATTGTAATTTTGAGCGTGCCTGTAAGCATCAATCAGTCGTTACAAAATATTAATTGCCAACCAATTATCAGACGATTGTGTTTTAGTTTTTTCAACCTCAATGAAGAGGACTTTTACTGGTGGCTTTGTTTAGGAGAATTAAGAAAACAACGATTAATATGAAGAACAATTGTAACATTTCATTAGGTAAAATGGAAGACTTACAAATATCCAAATTAGCCTCTTAGAGGTTTATAGTAACAAACTACTTGAAACTACTCCTAAGAACGAAGTGTAGTGCAGGAATTTGAAGTATAGAAATGTAAAGAACAAGAAATGTAAAAACTAGAAGGAAAATAAAGTAAATAAAACTGATTTTTTGGATCTGAGTCTGGGGGCTCTTTCTGGGGCCTTCTCTGCTATTTATACTTCTCAATGACAACCGTCAAAATGAACTTCTAACTGTCGAACCACCCCTCCATGATCGCTGGTGTTTCCTTACAGTTAGCTCTACTATGTCATATCTGCAGTTAAGCTACCCTCCTGATTTTGAATTTAAATATATGTATAACCGTTAAGTCACATCATCTTGTATCTCTTTGCTGATTCAGTGCTACATAGATATTTAATAACCAATACTAATTGTCACGTGTGTGATTACGATTGAAGATTTGAACTGCCTTCCTGTATTGCCCTTATCCTACCACGTGCTGGACTGTGATTGGCATGTACAAAGTATGTAGCCAACAATCGCTAACTGAATATAATGAAAATTAAAATTAATTTTATTTTAATTTATTATACTGTGTGGGATGATTAATATAATATCTCTTATTAATTGAAAAAAAAATGAAAAAAATAGCATTCTTTTATTTAGTCATTTTGATTAATTATAATTTTAGTATGGTTTTATTACTCCACATTTGGTTTTCTTAACTAACTTTTATTATCTATTTGTTATGTAATGATTTACATAATTTATAATAGTTTTCTAAAATTTTCTATGTTGTGAAGTATTAAAAATTTTGAATGATGTATAGTAAGATTTATATATACAAATTAAATAAAAATATTTTATTCATATTAGATAACACAACTAAATAGCATAATTTTTATTTTCTTTTATTTTATTCACTTTGTAAAATCCCGTGCTGACTACTAATTATATATATAAATGAATCAATTTAATTGTTTTGACACATCAATATGGACAATCAAAACAATCATATTAATCCATTTCCAGCGAGAGTCTCAATTTCAACATTGTTTATATATATCCAAAAAAAAAAAATTGTACTAAATTATTATTCATGTCAACTCAACTCAAAAACCTCCAACAAATATAAACAATTAATTATTTAAATGAGTTAAAACAGCATTTATACTAGCATTTCAACATTACTAATCTAAAATAATTTGACATTGTAACATAAAATAATTAAAAATAATTAACAAATTTTTTAAAAAAAATTGTTAACAATATATTAGATGAACTTCACAATGTGAAACATAATATATTTAAATATAACTCGTGTAATAAACGAATTTCAAAATCTAAAATATAATTCATTTTTATAACATGATAGATGCCACATTAGGGCATGTTTGATTGGGTGGATTAGAGCATGGGATTAGGATTATTAATCCGTGGGCCCAATTATCTCATGTTTGTTTTAACATTTTGGTTTAGGATTATTAATCCAATGGATAATTAATCCAACAAATTTGTAGGATTATTAGTAATGGGGTAGGGGTGGGATTATTAATCCAATGGATATTAATCCAATTGGATAGTGAATCCTACACTAATTTAATAGGATTATTAATACTTCACTATTAATCTTTTGAATCAAACATGACCTAAGGGAAACTTATAAACTTTTAACATAAGTAATTTTTTACCAAAAAACTGATTATAACTATATTCTCAAATATCTAATTTTGTAACAAGATTGATTATTAAAATAAAGATAAAATAAATTTGACTATACATATTACATAATAAAATTCATCTAAACCATGTTTCACTCAAATTATTCAATGTATAATTTATATGATTAATTCTATAATCGGTTATGGACTTGCTAGTTTTATGATGAGTTTTTATATTTATCTTTTTGTTTTTTTTTTCCTGACTTCATACATAACAAATTATAGTTTGACATAGTCAATTTTGACAAACAATGCAAGGGGAGAAAGAACATTCATTCCCACATAAACCTAAATGATTTGGTGAATGATTTGGGTTCATCATTAGTGACGATTTGGTTCACTAAAATCTTTCTCACCTACAGCTTGGAAATCTCAGCAACACCGCACCCCATCTGTCCAAAACACCACGCACGGCTTCTTTTTCCAACTCCTATGATGAAACCTAGGCCCAAAACAGCTTCAATTTCAGCAAAATCTGACGAATCTGAGACCTACCCATTTCATCTGATGCAGTTCTCTTGTCACTGAGTAGGCCATTTGTATCAGAAACCCCAAGGCAGATAGAGAAACAGCTCGTCTGTTTGCCTTCCCACTTCACATTCTTGGTGCAATTCTTCTTGAGGAATTGAGCTTCTAATCTTCATTGCCGTTAAGTGTCTTAAGGTTAGATTTCATATTGGTTGTCCTTAATTTCATGTGGGTTGTCTGCAATTCTCCCTTAATTTGGTTCTTCAATTTGGCCATGCACTGTTAGTGGGTGAAAAATAATGATTCTTTCTTGTTTACTACACCATTTTGGGATTAATTGTATATAACGTTGTAATTATTGTTTTTCTGTTAATGCTCTTTCTTGATTTTTGGAATATGATTCATTGATTTCAATTGGGGTTTTCATGAAATCTTATTATTATTATTATTATTATTATTATTATTATTATTATTATTATTATTATTATTATTATTATTATTATTATTATTATTATTATTATTATTATTATTATTATTATTATTATTATTATTATTATCATGGGTTTCTTTGCATTTACTTCTGGTATCTTTTTGAAGAGGAGAAGAAATGGTGATTGATAATTTTACATTTATTTGTGCATGCTATATCTGTAAATTCATGTGTCCATACTTGGTTACATATGTATGATTCTTCTAACTAGTCTTTCCAAGTTTTAGAGTTTCAAACTCCATTTCTCTAATTTGCATAATTGCAGGGTATGTGTGCGCACACACTCGTGTCTGTGTTGTATTGTATGCGACGGGTCCTATAGTTCACTAAAATCAATCAACTTGGATTTCCTTTGATTTCAAAGAATTAAACTGATTTTGTTTTCCTGTTTTTGCATCTTCTTTGAGGATTGGTAGGATAATTAATAAGAATTCCTTCTGAAATAATCTACACAAAACTATGTATGAAACCCTGAACAACTTTTCCCCCTCATTGTTTGATCTAAAGATTGTTGTTTATAGATCCTCAGCTGTCTAAACTAATTGTTGGCTTTTATTCCAACTTCTTCACACAAAAAAGGCAATGGAACACCTGTACATTTTCTAGGAAACTCGTCCTTTCCATATTCTGCAATTGTGTTATTCTATTTCTGTTTTTCTGAAAATGTTTTGTCATATAATCCATTTACAAAAAAGGGTAATGATAGCACCGGATCTTGAATTAATATACTCTTTTTGACTTTTTGTTGTAGTTGCTTTGACTGAGCGAGTTGGTGGCGCAACTGTTGCAATTGATCCACCAATGGGCTTTCGCCTCTCTTTTTTTCTGTTTCTGGCATCTCTTTCTGCAATTTGTGCTCAAGAAGCTGAAGATGCAACCATTGTAGTCAATGGAACTAAAGCAATTGCTAATACAGATACTAATTATATATGTGCAACGATTGATTGGTGGCCTCCTGATAAGTGTAACTACAACCAATGCCCATGGGGATCCTCATCCATTATAAATCTGGTACTGATTCAATGATTTTTAATATAGTTTGAAATTGATCAGCTTTCTAAAATTTGAACCATGTACTTCATGTTGATGAATAAAAACAATCAGAATATTGATTATTGTGTTTTCAATCTTGTCAGGACTTGTCACATCCTTTTCTTGCCAAGGCTATTCAAGGTTTGTGTTGCTGCTGGACCTCTGAGTTCATATCATTTAGGGTGGTAGCTGTTCTTATGATGATTAAAAATAAGCCCGATGAATAAGAATAAGAGTTCTATTTTTTCCGATATTTTCTGTATAATATTGCTACATTCGGGTAATATTCCATTTCTTCATTGGTTCCACAACAGCTTTCAAGCGTATGAGAATAAGAGTAGGAGGATCTCTGCAAGACGAAGTGTTGTATGATGTAGGAAATTTGAAATCCCGTTGCAATTCATTTACAAAGGCGGGAGAAGTGTTTGGATTTTCAAAGGGATGCTTACATATGGATAGGTGGGATCAAGTGAACTACTTTTTCAATAAGACGGGGTAAGATTTAGTCTCTTTCCATTTTTTCCTTCTGATTTTCTGTTTTGGGTTTTTGAGTTCAACTTGTAGTTTAATCCCTAGAGAGAGGGGGGGAAATCAGATAATGATGTGGTCAATTGGTATAAGTTATCTTTCATAATCATTTGTTCTTCCATCATGGTATTTGTTGAAAAGCCTCCATTGGTGGTCTGTTCGATTTAATGCGATAGCTTTAGATAAGTTTCTCAACAGTTCTTAATTGTCTCATCAAACTTTCTTTAAAAGACCTTTCTTGTGGCTGTGAGTAGTGCAGTTTCTTAATGGTGCATGTTTTTCCATTCTACCACTTTCTTTCAGAATTAGCTTCTGAAGGGGAAATGAGTGTTGTTGTGACCAATGCTGTCCATTTAAATTTCTTCAACTCTGAATCTTTTTTCACTACGCATCCCATCTTAGCATGTTCTTTGTGGGACAGAGTGTTGGGCAACTAAGAAATAACATGTGCATAAATTGAGTCCAGTTGAGATGAGAATGATGGTTACATGGTTACTTTAGAAAAAGATAGAATTGGAAATAAATATATTCGGGAAATAATAGGAGTAGCACCTATTGAGGATAAGTTGAGAGAGAAAAGGCTTTGATGGTTTGGTCATATACAACGAATACTTGTAAATACAACGGTAAGAAAGACTGATATGATCACCATAAATGGAGATACTAGACTGAGGGGAAGACCTAAGCTACATGGAATGTGGTAGTGAAAAAGATATGAATTTATTTACTCTAACTGAGCATATAGCCCTTGATAAGAGTTGAATTGTGAAAAATATTCATGTAAGCAATCTCAATTGATTAGAACACAAGGCTTAGTTTGGTTTCCACTTTCTTTTAGAATTAGCTTATGAAGGGGAAATGACCAATGTTGCCCATGTAAATTCCTTGAACTCTAAATCTTCTTCCATTTTGATTGTGCTGTGAAGACCTCTTCGAAATATCCCTATTCCACAGATATAAAAAAATTTCTAAGTTGCAAACTATTAAATCAAATGTTACAGATGAGGTCGTGTGAATGCTTAATATGGTGTGATTGTTTTTAAATGTCTTTCTTACAGAGTACTTGTGACATTTGGCTTGAATGCACTGTATGGGAGGCAAGAGATAACAAATAAAGTCTGGGGAGGGGATTGGGACTCCAGTAATGCCAATGATTTCATAAATTACACAATTTCCAAGGGCCACCGGATAGATTCATGGGAATTTGGTAACGTATTGTCCACAAATTTGTTTTCCTAACTTACTGTAATCTGCCTTTTAGCTTATCCTTGCATTCGCTGCTGTCAGGTAACGAGTTAAGTGGCAAAGGTATTGGCGCTAGTGTTGATGCTGCACAATATGCAGCAGACCTAATCAAACTTAAAACTATCATCAACAAGTTGTATAAGAACTTCCGCCCAAAACCTTTACTCGTGGCCCCCGGTGGATTCTATGATAAGGAATGGTACAATAAGCTCCTTCAGGATTCAGGTTCACTCGTGATCAATGCTATGACACATCATATATACAATTTGGGTGCAGGTTGGTGAATGGTTCAACTTGTTAAGATCCCACTATATCTTTTTTAATTGACATATGTACATGTTTTTGGTATAAACATAGTAACTATTTTATTACTATAAAATATAAATATTTGGGCAATATCCATTTTATCCCCTTGTAGTTTAGGCCATTTGCACTTCACTCCCTGTACTCTAGGCAGAGAGCCCCCTCGTGGTTTTGACTGTTTAGATATCTAAACTAGTTATACTCAATGCTAATCTGGACTTTTCATGTGTGGTAACAGTTCAAACTAGGGCTTTTATATATTAACGACAAAGCCTACGAAAATAATTGTGTCCTTCCTCCAGCCATTAACTTGTAGTTTTACTTTGTTTCAGGTGTTGATCATGATCTTGTAAGTAAAATTTTGGATCCCAATCATTTGAGCAAGATATCACAAACGTTCAGGAATCTTAACCAAACCATTCAAACGTACGGTCCTTGGGCTTCTGCTTGGGTTGGAGAATCCGGAGGAGCATATAACAGTGGTGCCCGTAACATATCTGACACCTTCGTAAACAGCTTTTGGTAATTCTTGATTTTCTCATTAATTTCATCAGTTCATTTCTAAGATTTCATGCTTCTTAGAAAATTTATTGCAACTCATTCATATATGAAATTTAGGTACTTGGATCAGCTTGGAATGGCAGCCACATATGACACTAGAGTATATTGCAGACAGACTTTAGTTGGAGGAAACTATGGTCTCCTTGACACAACCACCTTCGTCCCCAACCCCGACTATTACAGGCAAGGCTATTTATATTTTCCCTTATAAATTTTTTACTTGCTGAATATTGAGATAAATTACTTTAGAAGTTTCTTCATTTGTATGTGAAATGCACATCTAACGCCAAACTCTTGCTTCTACTGGACATTTTGTTCTCTACAGTGCCCTTCTATGGCATCGGCTGATGGGAAAAGAAGTTATTTCTGTTAATAGCAGCGCTTCACCATATTTACGCTCCTATGCCCATTGCTCCAAGGGAAGAGTAAGAACACTATTGTAATACAATATGTCTATAAGTAATCGTGGTTCATTACACCATCACTTGATGATTTTGACCACGATGTTATGGTCAACCTACAAGATTTATACATGCGACCATTGAATCCCATGAAGTTTTGTCATGAACACTCGTAGTTGGTACCATATTGTGTGTTGGGTCCTACTTATTGCATGCTCGTTGAATATTACATAACTTTAATTATTCCAATTTGCCTGATGGGTGTGGTGAGGGGGATCAAGTATGAGGGAGATTGAAGACAAAAAAACATGAATGTGTACAGAAACGCTAATCGTCACCTAGGAATTGGGACTTCTTAGATGATACAAATCTCAAATTTGACCATCTGATTGAGAATTAGTCAAAAAAACTCGAGTTCTAAATAATAGGCTTTTAAAGCATGATGTCAAAACATGGCACGAATATTATATGGAAATGCAAACGTCACGTAGGTTGCGACCATTGCGACCATTGCTACTTGTTAGACGACACAAATCTTGAACTCTACACTTTGTCTTTTTAAAGTATTTATGTCATTTTTCTGCAATACAGCTTTTCTTGCCTTCATTATGATTCTTTGAGTAGAATATGCATTTTTGGAAAACATTTTATTAAAATTCTTTTGTTAACAACATTTTTGCTATCTTTTTACAGTCTGGTATAGCTTTGCTTCTGATCAATTTAAGCAACCAAACCGATTACAACATCATGGTTCAAAACAGTATAAACATCGACTTACGTGTGAAAGACAAGACTGATGAGAATAGAAAGTCTTTCACACACGTTCTTAAGAGAGCTGTGTCATGGGTAGGAAGCAAAGCATCAGACGGGACATCTTTCAGAGAAGAGTATCATCTAACTCCAGAAAATGGTGATCTTCAAAGCAAAACCATGTTACTAAATGGGAATCCGTTGCAGCTTACAGATGATGGAGACATTCCGAGTTTGAATCCAGTTCGTGTTGCTGTAAATTCTCCAATGTCTGTCCCTCCTTTGTCGATTAAATTTGTGGTATTCCCCAATTTCGACGCTTCTTGTTGCAAATGATTCTTTACAGAAACCACATAGTGATAGGGTGTTGTTTTCTGTTATATATTAGTTGCAGAATCTCAAGTTTCTGAATTGGATGTAATTGTAGCTTGTAATACATTTCACAATATTTTTCTTGTGGGAATTATAAGAATGAATGCATATTTAGCCTCTGTTTATCAAATTAGTTTTTAATTATTTTTGATTTTTTTTAAAACTAATTCTGAAACCAAACCATTGTGTTACTCCTTCCAAAGGGTTATCCTTGTTATTCAAGAGTAAGTTATACTATGGGTCTTGTAAAATGTCACTTTAATTTTGGTAGTTTCAATTTAAACAATTTAGTTCCTCTACTTGGAATTTTGTTGTATTGTGAAGTATAATGATTTTGACCGACTTAGGCTTTGCCTGTGACGTTGGGACCAAAGCTTGGGAGGAGCTTTGCGTGCAACAATACTTGAACCCTTCATTTTCAGTGAAGTGTAATGATTTTGGCCAACTTCCGCTTTGTTTGGTTACAATTTTTTAAGCCACTTTTTTGGCTATTTAAACCCCCCAAAAAATATATATTATTGTTAATTTTAAATTAATTTAGTTGCAATCGAGAGAAAAATATATATATATTCTAACCAGATTTATTTTTATTAGGCAATTTCTAAAATAATCACATTTTAAGAACTAACCTTTAATTAAATTATTAAAGTTGAAGTTTCAGATTCAAGAACAGAGGTATAGTTCTCAGAAACAATAGAAATACAGAAAAAATCAAGGACAGCGGCAAAGAGAATGATGAAAAAGCATAGAAATTCAAGGTAAAAGCCACAAAATCAAGATACAAATAAATCCAAGACCTCGAACAAGATCAGTAATGGCGACAGACAGACAAAAGCACATAAAGAGAATGAAAGAATTAAAGGAAAGGGTCTTACCAGGACAAATGAAGCCAAGGCAGTGCTCGCCGAACCCAGAAATTGATTGCAACAGCAAAGAGGGTTTTTGCAAGAATGAGGCAATGGCAGATTCAAAGAAGAATGAGCTTTTCAGAGAGAGAAAGAGCAAGAAGACGGAATGAAAAAGTGAAGAAAAGATAGAGGCAAAAGAAAAGTTTTGTCAAAAATGTGAAACGGCGGCAAAATTAGGGCAATCATTACGCCTAGGGTAACGCACGCGTCAGACGGCGCAGACGAAATGAACAGACAACTTCAGGCGCGTCACCAACACGCTCCAATAAAGACGAAACACGTAAAAGAAACAGTTAGATATGCATGACAGCTCATGCGCGTGGGAGAGTACGACCGAAGCCTTGTTCTCCGAAGAGAACACGCCGGCTGAAAGAAGAAAATCTTGGCTAAATAGTTTTTGAGCCATTACTCAGAAAAGAAGTAACAAAATTTCGGAATAGGTTCCATCACCTCAGAATGCCGAGGTAATAGAACCTAGGGGGCAGTTGTGGGGATATATTTTCTGAATACCAATATTAGTTGTTAATATCATAAATAATAGAAAAATCATATATAGGAAATTGAATATTACCATAGATCATATCTACATAAACGTAACGTAACGTGACACCTACATAAACGTAACGTAACGTAACACCTACGATCTATGGTAACATACAATTTCCTATATACCTACATAAACGTAACGTAACGTGACACCTACATAAACGTAACGTGACACCTATGATTTATGACAACATTTAGGGGTGGTTTGAGATGTTATAAATAAGTGCACTTTTTAACTTTTTATAAAAAGATATGTAGAAAAGTAGAGAGCAGATGTTAATTGATGTGACCCAAAAAAGATAAAAAGATGGGCTAAAATAGGTTATGCCAAACCACCCCTTAATTTTCTATATAGGAAATTGAATGTTACCATAGATCATATCTACATAAACGTAACGTAACGTGACACCTACATAAACATAACGTGATACCTATGATCTATGGCAACATTCAATTTCCTATATAGGAAATCGAATGTTGTCATAGATCATATTTATATAAAACGTAACGTGACCTCAACATAAACCAACAACATTTTCACATTCAATTTAAAAAAATAAAAACTCATTAAGTTTGCAAAACGTAACGTGACACGTTATATTACGTTTATGCAGGTGTCACATTACGTTTATGTAGGTGTCACGTTACGTTACGTTACGTTACGTTTATATAGATATCACGTTACATTACGTTTATATAAGTGTCACGTCAGGTTACGTTTATGTAGGATCTTGTGTAATATATTCCTATCTAAATAGGATTTGAGACTAGCTCGCTCGAGCCAAGAAATGCAACTCTCAGGTCCAGAACCAAACGCAGACTCACGCTCGAGCGAAGGAACCCTGGCTCGAGCAAATGAGCTAAAACACAGAGCTCGCTCGAGCAAAGACACCAAAATCTGGACAGCAACCATTTGTTTCTAATCACAACCAACCTGTTACAAACCTGCCCAACATATCCTAAAACTCATATATAAGGAATTAAAGAACGGAAATGAAACATACACAGCAATAGACATTTACGAAACATCGTCCGGAAAACAATAACCAATGAAGGGAAAACCGGGATTGCTATAACAACATAAACCAGCAACATTTTCACATTCAATTTAAAAAAATAAAAACTCATTAAGTTTGCAAAACGTAATGTGACACGTTACATTACGTTTATGTAGGTGTCACATTACGTTTATGTAGGTGTCACGTTACGTTTATATAAATATCACGTTACGTTACGTTTATATAAGTGTCACATCAGGTTATGTTTATGTAGGATCTTGTGGAATATATTTCTATCTAAATAGGACTTGAGACTCTATAAGAAATTACATAGGACTTAACCTATCATAAGTGTCTGAAAAATGACTTATAAATAAGTCTCCCGAAAATATACTTAATGAGGAATTTAATATTTTAAACTTTAAAATAATATAACTTTTGATCTAGATTTCGGTTGTTAATAAAATTAGTATTTTTAGAATCCTCTCATCAACATTTAAGATCTATGTTAACTATGAAATTCTTAATAAATAAATAAATAAAACCTTTGAAATTGATGTAAACATGTTATTCTGATTTACGGTAACATTTTACTGTTACAAAAATAGAGTACATATTAGATGAACCAATAAAAAATACACATAACACAACATTTTTAAACTTGTGTAAAATAAAATAAAAGTGTTGCTCGTCAAAAGAAATTCTGTGAGATACATATATGCATGGATAATATTATTCAAGAAAAAAAAAATTTACTCTGCCCTTTCTCAATTATGTGCCTTCTCTTTAGGGAGTTTATGAAGTAAAACAAATTGAGTTATCATTTTCACCAAATAAGGATCCAATAGAGAAATTTTGGTTAAATTTCCCTATATATACATCCACTTATCTAAACTTTTCCAATAACCAAAAAAAAAAGGGCAAACTTTAGAGCATTTCTAACGGTATATTTTTCTTTTTTTTTTCTTTTTTTTTTACTAAATTTGAGTAAAAATTTGAATTAAAACTTCATTTGATATCAAGTGCTTTAACAGAGGATTTTCAGCTTTCATCAAAATACTGGTCGATCAGGCAAACGATCGAACAGATGTCCAGCCCATCGATTGGTCAGTGTATTCTTTTTACAAATTTTTGTCTAAAGGTGATCATCTAGGAAATATCTGGTAGTAAAAATCCAACAGCTATGGACAGTGATTTGATGAAAACTTCTACGCGTTCTCAATTTGGTGAAAATTTTTTGATATCCTCAATTTAATACTAATCTGATAAAACTATTGAAGTAGGAAGAAAATTATTTTTTTATCAAATTTAAATTTCATAAAGAAAACCATTCGTCAACTACATCAATTGTTTTAATAACTTTATCTTCAAAAATAAAAAAATAGTTGCTAAACACAAAGCATCAGTTGGCTTTGGTGCATGGTCCACACCAAGTTTGATTTGTTAAGTCTATTGTTTGGGTTTTAAATGTTAGGATGAAATATTAATAAACCTCAAATGTGTAATGTTAAAGATTTTAGAAGTTTTATTAAAATTTTTATTAAATATTTTATACAAGTGTGGGATCTACGTGGTAAAAATTTTGATAAAACTCTTAAAATTTCTAACATTTTTCATCTCAAATAGTGATTTTATAAATTGTTTAGTATTTTTTTTTTTTTTGAATTTTTTTATTTTGTGGACTCAAAGATCTTATTATTCTTGTGTGAATTATATAAAAGACCAAATATAAATGTGCGTGTGTTATGTGTTGACGAACAAATGTAAATTTTCTCATAATGTTAAAATTACTAAACGTAATACTTCAAAAAAATTCCATAGTGCACTTTTTCTGAAATTTAACAATTCAATGTAACACTCTAAAAAAAATTTAATATACTTTTCTCAAATGTAATAACATCAGTGTTTTTGGTTTCAGTGTTTTGAAAATGGAGGTTTTGTTTTTTCGTATTTTTTTTGTTTTTAGTGAATATTTTTAAAACTTTAAGCATTTTTTTTTCAACTTTTTTAGATGCACCTTACTTAGATGCATATAAAAAATAAAATATTTGTAAAAAATATTTTTAAAAATTAATAAATATACAAAAAAATGAAAAATATACTGAATTTTTGATTTTTTTTTTGTATTTTTGGTATTTAGTGAATTTTTTAAAAAAAATCAAGAAAATTATAATTTTTAAATATATTTATGTTAGGTGTGTTTAAAAATTTTTAAAAATTCTTAAAATATTTTAAAAAATCAGAAAAAACAAAAAAAATATATGAAAAATAAGAAAGTAAAATTTTTTGAAAAGTTTTTTCAAAAAACTGAAAACAAACTTAGTGATTAGTATTCTTTTTCTAAACATAACACTCCAATCAATGTAACATACAAAACTACTTAGTATATTTTTTTTCTAAATGTAACATTCCAAAAAAAGTCCTTAGTGTATTTTTTTCAAACGTAACAACGTAACATTCTAAAAAAACTCATTATTGAATTTTTTTCAAACGCAACACTTCAATCATTGTAACACACAAAAACTCTTTAATGTACTTTTTTCAAACGTAGCACTCTAATTTAACACCAAAAAATTACACTAATAAAAATGTAGATTTTAACGCTCGGCAACCAACACTTCAACGACCAATCCACTCAAAAAGAATCTTCCATACCTCACCTTTCCATTTTTATCCCAAAAATGAATCAGAAAATTAGAAAAATGAATCATAAAAGGGTATTTACTTAAATTTAAATGGCACCAAATCAAATAAATACAACTTTTCAAAACAAAAAGGACTAACTAATTTATAAAAAAAACTCTTAGAACTAAATGGATTAATATTCACCCATATGAAATTTATGGATAAATTTTCCTAAATTGTATACATTTTATTTTTATTTTGGAAAAAAAAAATATTGCCTACTACTTTTCTTCTCATTTTCCTAGCTCAATTAAACAAAATAACAGAATTTTTTTAATAATATGATAAATTTATTTCAATTAATAATTTAGATAATTTTATTATATTATGTGAGAGCCATTAGAAATTTTATTTTTTCAGTTAATTATGTTAAATACAAAATTCTGATAAGGGAGTATTTGTAATTTTTTAAATCACAGGAGACAATTCATATTTTAAACAAACCTTAGGAGTGTATTTGTAATTCACTTTATAAATTTTATTGAGAGAATTACCAGAAAAAAAAGAGCCCTAATTTATGACCTTTGTAACAAAATAAACTTTCAGTTTTTAATTTTAGTAATTTCTGTCAAGTAAAACTAAATAGAAAAATAGTATTTTGGTCATTAAACTCAATGTAAGCATACATAAAATATTTAAAATACCATTTTCGATTGAGTTTATTACTAAGGTACTCTTTTTCCGTTTGGTTTTACTTGACAGAACTAAATGAATGGTTTAAATTCAAAACAAATCAAAAGATTAGAGGTTAAATTGCTAAAATTAAAAACTAAAAATTTATTTTATTACAATAGTCAAACTCTGGGTTTTTTTTTGTAATTTTGCAATATTATTTTACTCTTAAATTATCATTCAAAAATCAATTCAATCATTCTTTCTTCAATTATATCAATTTATACCCAAACTATTCTACTTTTTATCAATTTCAACCCTACTATCAATTGTCATATATAATCACATGAAATTTGCTGACGTCACATGAAATTTGATTTTACTCTTCAAACTATCCATCAAAAATCAATTAACAAAATTAAAAGAAAGGTTTATAGATTTGTTTTTTACAAAGGTTATTATCTTTTTTTCCCTTTTCCTACCCGACTAAACAAAATAATGAAATTTATTGTGCTTCTCGTATCAATATATCATTTTTGTTTTTTCTTTTCTGTTGTGTGTTCTTCAAATCAAAAAAAGAGAGATTATTTCATTTTTACTCCTATACTTTGTCACGATTTTCAATGACCCCCCCAAACTACTATTATTTTCACGCGTACCCCTATATTATTTAAGTTATTATCAATTTTGCTCTTGCCGTCAAATTTGAAAAGGAAAAAGTTAAAAAAAAATTACATTTTGGACCCAAATTTCAAAAGAAAAATGCAGACCCACTCTTTCTTATCAGCAAACTACCACCAATAACCACCACTTCAAACTCTTCTATCTCCTTCATCATAACTCTATTTCGCCTCATTTTTACGTCGTTAGATTCAACTCACGGTCTAGTTTTCGTATCACATATCACACGTCTCGTTCTTCTTCTTTTTGCATGCTATTGGAGCTCCGAAAGTTGATAAGAAAATAAGACTTTTCTTCTTGTTTTCAACTTTTCTTCGAGTCATCTTTCGAACTTCATATCTTTCTCGATTCTTGATGGTTCTACTTCATTCTATTGTCATTCTCTTCACCTAACTTCCTATTTCGCCCTACACTACCTCACTTTCTCACTTCTTCGTGTAATGGGTGGTTTTGGCATACCGAAAGTTATACGAAAACTAATTTCAAAAATTTCAAAACATTCATCTTTTGTTTCTTTCTTCTCCATCTTCCTCATTCTTCTTCTTCTTCTTCTTCTTCTTCTTCTTATAACATGATATGGAACATGGTTCTAAGTGGTAATGGAACTAGTAATGGTGGTGATGGCGGTAATGTAGTTTGGTGGCGGTGAAGTTGGTGGTTCGAGTAGTGATCTTTTTCTTCTTCTTCAATTATATGTGTACATATCATCTTTCCTACTGGAATTTTCTTAGTCCATTTGAATGGAACACCGTGCCCATTCAAACTTGGATTGTAAATGAGATGAAAACCTCAACTGTTTTTCCAAGAACAAAAGAAATTTGCATTGTTAAGAAAAATCTCATAGCAAATAGTTGATTTTGTATTAGAAGAAAAGTTTTGTTGTTATAGCCATTGATGTCAAATTACAAATTAATGAGCACCTATTAATTTCTCAATTTGCTATGACTACTTTATCATGATATGAATCTAAACATGTGAAATAAGAGTTTTTCTCCCAATTGAATATCCTCTAGGCTCTCTCTCCGAAATTACACCTATTTTCAATGCAACATCATACACATTACAAGCACTCAACCGTCTGCCTTGTCGATTGAACTTACTAATCAAAATGTCGAAAGAAATCTTTGTGGGGACTGAACTTCCTCAACGCATGAGGACTAATACCGACAATGCCTCCATTTTTCCCACGACACAAAGTGCTCGAATGACGTTGAAAGTGATATTCTTCGGGGCATATGAAATCTCAACCATCAACTTCACCAATATCACCACCCAAACCATCAACTTCACCGCCACCGAACTCCATTATTGCCACCATGAGCATTACCATCACCACCACCTTACAACACCAAACCCACCACCATTGCCGGACCACCACCACCATCATCACAAGTTCCCTTACCACCTAGAACCATGTCCCACATCATGTTATAAATGAAGAAGAATAATAAGAATGAGGAAGATGGAGAGGAAAGAAACAAAAGATGAATGTTTTGAAAATTTTGAAAATAGTTTTCGGACAACTTTCGGTATACCAAAATTGCCCATTACACGAAGAAGTGAGAAAGCGAGGTAGTGTAAGGCGAAGTAGGAAGTGAGGTGAAGAGAATAGCGAAAAAATGAAGTAGAACCATCAAGAATCGAGAAAGATATGAATTCCGAAAGATGGCTTGAAAAAAAGTCGAAAATGAGAAGAAAGGTCCCTTTTTTTTTTTTTGTTAATATCAACTTTCAGAGCTCCGATAGTATGCAAAAAGAGAAAGAACAAGATATGTGAGATATGATACGAAAACTAGACCGTGAGTTGAATCCAACGACGTAAAAATGAGGCAAAATGGAGTTATGATGAAAGAGATAGAAGGGCTTGAAGTGGTGGTTGCTAGTGGTGGTTTGCTGGCAGAAGAAGGTGGGTCTACATCTTTCTTTTGAAATTTGGGGCCAAAATGTAATTTGTTTAACTTTTTTTGTTTCAAATATGACGGCAAGGACAAAATTGATAGTTACTTAAATAGTATAAAGGTACGCATGAAAATAAGAGTAGTATAGAGGGTCATTGAAAATCATGACAAAGTATAGGGATAAAAATAAAATAATCTCCAAAAAAAATCTAAAACAAAAAACTAACATGAAAAACTTGTTTTATATATAGTTTTTGAGTTTGGAAAAAAAAAAAAAAAGTTGGATACAATCCTTCTTGAAAAACACCTTCAAGTCATTTTTTAATTTTAATTTTATTTTTATTTTTTTTATTAAAAAAAAGAACAATATAAAAAGAATGGGTATTTTTTAATTTTTCAATGTTTTGTTTAATTCACTTTATTTTTTACATTTTTCGTTTTATTTTTCTTTCCTTGTGCACTTGAACAATTTGGATAGTTTGTGTTTTCATTGATATTAATAACTTAAAACTAAATAGTAATATATTGGAGGATTGATAATATTTAAATATCAGATTTCAATTAAGCCATATTTTTTAACTTTTCGATGAAATAGTGAGTTAATGTTTTTTTTAATTACCTAATATTTGAATTATTGCATTCAATCACAACCTAAATGAAAATGATCCAATCAAAACAAAAACAAATTGCAATTAAAACTACTTTAAAAACCATTTAAAAAACCAACGTCAGACAATAAGCCTCACTTGACTATTAAAAGAAAAATAAATACAACACAAATCAATAAAGCGTGTTTAAAAACACATAGAACTCAAACTTATTAGGCACCAGACTGTTCTCTGTGTACTTTTCTAGAGTACATAGAATTTCTCTAGTAAATTGCAATATTCCACCAAAAAATAGTAAAAATTTGAAAATGAACAAAAATAGCCAATAAGATACAGTTGGGACCAAATTTAAAATAGTATCAATAATTTCAAATTTTGAATAAAAGCACTTTAATTAATTCCCTCCATAACCCAGTTCTTCCATTGTATCAATTTTCCTCTCGTCTTCCATTGTTCTCCATATTTCCATCTCTTTAATTAAATAAATGAACCATAACAACAAGAATACAAGTAGCTTATACGAAAATTATGGCCTATGCGTTAGGTTCCCGCCGAAGGTACATTCTGTGGGCTTGTGGGATGCTAAAGACCCCTTCACGTATGCATTGCCGGCGTTGGAGGTCCAGATGGTCACCATTTTCTTTCTCACTCAGCTCCTCCATTATCCTCTCAGATCTGTGTTGACATTCCCAGGATTTTCTCTGAGATCATGGTATGCTCTTTTTTCTTTTTTTTTTTAACCTTTCGTTTTTGCCTTTGTCCTTTCTCTGCTATGCTCATGAACTTCAAATTTCTGTCAAGAAAAAAAAAAATATTGTTAAATTTACATTTCGATTTTCCTTCTAAACAATTCATGTATTCTAACATGTGTTACAATAGTATGGATGACAAGGCAACCAAGGCAAGAAAACATAATAAGCTCTTTATTTAATAATATAAACATAATAAGCTACTAGTACAAGAGTTATGAAATAAACAGTCTGTTATGTTCTTAGGTTAGAGCTCTAAATGCATTAGTTTGTAGTCAAATGCATTCTTAATTTTAATTAACAGGATTGTCTTGTTACCCAGAACTCCATTGCTTCATTAGGGGACCAAGAATTCAAAATTTTGTAAAATATATGTTTTGCTTGATTTCGTTATGAATGTAATTTATTGAATTTCTCATAATATGATACATTGATAAATTCAAAGAATGTATTCCTAATTTTATGTTGAAATGGTGGTTTGACCAAATAAATTTGAAGGGACAATCTAAATAGGTTGTATTGGATCATGAATTTGGATTAGAATAAAGAAAGGAAAACATAAGGGATAAGTGTGAAAAAATAACTTGTGTTTCATTCATTTTTTTCTATTCCTTATTTTTTTTCCCTTTTGCAAATTCTTCCTCAATCTTAGAAATTTCCCTTCTCTTTTTAATTCCCTCTATACATCCCTCCCCAAATCCCAAAATCCAAACAGAACCAAAAAAAAACTAATCCGAAATTTGGATTCGAGTGGTTCTCACACGAAGATTGAGTTTGTAATATGAAGGTTTTTCCATAAAAGCAGGATTTTAGGAGAACAAGCCACAATATAAGCTAATTAAGGGGAGTTCTTGACTGCTTAGCTTAATTTGAATAATCATTTTTTGGCTAATAAGAAATTCGATAAGCAAATCCATTGTGGACCCTTTTGATGAAGCCCAAAATTGGACTTCTCAATCCTTGGATCACTCTTGTTATATCTATTTTTGGGATAAAACATCATAGATGTGATTAACTATGTTAAATTGTTTACCAGTTTGAATTCTCCATATTCTCTCTCTCCTAAGTAAACCTTGGCAACACGAGGAGAAATTTATTAATAATCTAAAACCAAGAGGGTGAAATTTTTCATGCAATACAAGAAAAAAAATGTACACAAAGAGAATCAATACTAGTAGACTTGAATATTCAAAATACCGAAAGCTACGAGACCCTTAACCAATACAGGAAACTCTAAAAAAGTAGAAAAATAAGAATTACCATAATCACAACCCCAATTAACTAACGCATTTGCAACACTATTTACTTCACAGTAGCGAAGAAGAACTAGAAAAACCTCGTAGTCTCACGTTGTGTTTGGTTGGGGAATTTTAGAATGAATTTGGAAAAGAAAAGAAAAAAAAAAGTGAAATACAAATTAAAATATATTTACATTTCACTTAGTTTCACACACATTAACCTTTTCTCTTTTCAAATCCCTTTGCAAATCTCCCAACCAAACACAATGTTAGTCTCAAAAAGATACAGACGCATAAAGTTCTAGACCAGTGTATTTTTAATGCAAATTTTGATTAACAAATCCTGGCAATTCCTGATCATCTTGCACTTTATGCATACTGAAATCTCATTTGGCAACCTTCAGTTTTAACCAAAAAGTCAAAAAGTCACTATAAATTGTCATATCTCTCTCTACTTTTTTACACATCTTTTCGTAAAAGTTAAAAAATTACTAAAATAACCTGTTCCCAAACGAGGCCTGAGTAACTTATAAGTTTATTAAATTTGTGCGATACTCTTATGTTTTTTTTGTTTATTTTTTCTTTGATTGTGAACTAGGTTGGCATAATCCTTGGACCCACACTACCCCAGAGTTTAAAAAATTTTACGAAGAGATTGTTTCCTATCGACACCCAAGGAATAATTAGCACGGCATCAGTGTTCGGTTACATGTTTTTCATGTTTCTAATAGGAGTGAAAACAGATTTGTCTGTACTAAAGCCAATAGGAAGGGAGGCGCTTATAATAGGTATTTCATCCCTAATTCTCCCTCTAATGATTGGTATAGCAATCGTACAAGTGTTCATAGGAGAACTTACAGGAGAAAAGGAGGGTTTAGAAAAGATTTTATACCCTGCAATTTTTATACAATCTGTGAGCCCATTTCCAGTCATCGCTCTCTTCCTCAAGGACCTCAAAATCATCAACTCAGAGCTTGGTCGATTAGCGGTATCTTCAGCTGTCTGCAGCGAAATGCTAAACATCTCTATGGTTTGCATTATTAAGATGTTTAAATCATTCATGGACCTCCGACAATCAGCAGCAGGTATAATTCAGAACGTTGGATTAACCATCGGTCTCGTACTCATCATCGTTGTCATTGTCCGGCCAACAGCGCTCTGGATGATCAGACAGACACCAGAAGGTAGGCCTGTCCGGGACTCGTACATTTACTCCATCATCCTGGTTGTTTTGCTGGCTGGTTCATTTACTCAATGGATTGGACATACTCCTATATTAGGGGCCATTCTCACGGGATTCGCCATACCAGATGGACCGCCACTCGCATCTGCATTGTCTGATAAGCTCGATTCCTTCGTTTCCGGTTTGTTTTTGCCGATTTTCATAACCTTGATTGCCTTGAGGGTGAATCTGCTATCCATCAATCTGCGTAGCCCTTTCGCGGTTTCCACTATCATCATGGTCCTTGCGACTTTCTCAGCAAAGGTTTTTGCCTGCATGATACCGGCATGGATTTGTAGGGTGCCCTTTAAGGATGCTCTTGCCCTTGGCTTCATCATGAGCTCAAAAGGCATTGTTCAGATGTCCCTTTATAGTATGTTCAGAGACGAACAGGTAATGAATCCAAGATCCAAATGCAACCATAAAATGAAAAATGATTGCTTTGTTTACCCCCCTTTTCCCTAAAATACATACTTATTGCAGATTTTCAACGAGGAGATTTTTGCATTGTTGGTCATTAGTACAGCAGTGCTAGCAATAGTTGTTCCAATCCTTGTAAAACAGACCTATGTTCCATCAAAGAGATACACAGGGTACCAAAAAAGAAGCATTGTGGATTCCGAAAATGACGAGGAGTTAAGGATGGTGATGTGCATCCATAGGCCAGGCAACATCCCTGCTTTCATCAACCTCCTAGACGTCTCATGTCCGAGTAGAGAAAGCACCATCGCAGTATTTGTACTTCACCTTATTGAGCTTGAAGGCCGAGCCGCTCCTCTCCTCATCACACACCACCTTCAACAGAAAAATGACAACACCTACTCTCAAGATGTCATCTTTGCCTTTCGTAAGCATGTGAGGCAATACCACGGCACCATATGGGCGCAGGCCTTCACAGCAATCTCTCCACGCAAGCTAATGCATGAGGATATATGCAATCTTGCTCTTAAGAAAGTAGCTGCCCTCATAGTAATCCCATTTCACTGTAAATGGGCCATTGATGGCTCCATTGAGATGGAAGACTTCAGCCTGAGATCCCTCAACTGCAAAATCTTTGATGCTGCTCCTTGCTCTGTTGGAATCCTCATAGACCGTGGTCGTAACCAAGTGCAGCAAGCCTCAACAACCCAATTGTCATCACAACGCGTTGCTGTGATCTTCTTCGGAGGAAGAGATGACCGGGAGGCATTGGCTTTCGCCATACGCATGGTTGGAAAATTGAGCACTCACCTAACCGTGGCTCGATTCACTACTACGGTAGGTGGAGCATACAGTGACAAGGAGGAAATACTTGACTCCGATGCATTGGATGATATTAAAAGAATTGGCAGGGACAGTGTTCCGTATGTCGAGCAGGCGGTGAAGGATGGCCCTGAAACTGCATTGATAGTTCATGACATGGTGGATGAATTTGACCTCATAATAGTAGGGAGACATAAGAATGTCTCTTTCCCACAAATATCAGGTCTAGAAGAATGGAGTGAATTTCCAGAGTTGGGGGTGATAGGAGACTTTCTTTCCTCATCTGATCACAAAGGTAGAGCATCTGTCTTGGTGGTGCAGCAACAGCGACACAAGATCCGCTAGTGTGCAGGAAGACATAGCAAAAGCTATGTACCTTGAAAATGTAATCTGAAAAGCACTCTAAAGTAAAGTGTATGGCATAGATTCAAAATTAGTGTGGTGTGGGGAAGGGCGGAACTAAGATTATATCATGGGGGTTGCTGCCACAAAGAGAAGGCAAAACAGGGACTATAATTGACCATGGTAGGCAACGATGGCAGGTTTCCTCAAACAGCATTTAAGATAGTGAGAGATTCACCTAGTTCAGGAGTGACTAGTGTGATGTTGAGTTTGAGCCAAATAAAGATTATATATTGTTTTGATGTATCTCAGACACCAAATAAATTATATACCTAGACAAATATCTTGTACAGGCACATTCGCTAGAAAATAAACATTTCTAACCTCTCATATGAATATGAGAGAAATTCTTCTTTTTTTTCCAAAATCTTATTTAATTGCAAGTGCATTTCTATATTATTTACAACATCTTTTCTAACAATACTATACACCACCGAACGTCCCAAAACTTCAATGTAAACATTCAGAGGCAAACATATCATACTTCTCAAAAAATCTTGAATTTGCAACTGCCATGAATCCGAACGATTTTAACCCACATAGATGCACGCGCACACGATTCTAACAACAATAAATATAAGCTATGAAAAAAGTAGATAATTTAGAGAACCAAAGTTCAATATCTCCACCATAGTCTTACCAACTACACTTTTTATCTAGAAAATAAAATGAACCATCTATGCACTATTTCCCTTCTTCAGTTGATGCAGAGCATTGAAGAAAATAACAATATGCAGAGCATTGAAGAAAATAACAATAAAATCCACAGGTGTACGCCAAGAAATTTTTTCTCAAACAGAACTCATAAAAGAAACCCAGAAAATTTTAGCTGATATTTTTTCCATCTTCATAAAACATAGGGACCTGCCGACCTACAAGTATATAATCCGCCATACGGCCCGCCCCTGCCCACAGATGTGATATCTGTATCAGTTAATCTATTAAATATTATGCTCATATCATACCTCCAGCTCCAAAACAATCATTTTCAATTACAATTAAATAAATTTTCACATGCCTGAGATCTCCATCCAAGTTCACACAAAACCACTCAAACAAATATAACACCCACAAAACAAACCTTCCCCACCAAAACACACACAGTGCTCTACCCCCAAACCAGTCCATTGAATGTGAAACATTACGTGCCAAATATATTCAATCTGGGCTTTTGCTCAAAACTTCTAATGTCTAGTAAGGAAAACAACAAACCATTCAGAGTTGGTAATACTTTCAGCCATGAATTATTTTGGACCCCCCATTTCTTTGGACCCCCCACTTATAAATTCTAAAACCCTCAAAACCAAACAAAATAAGTCATCAATAAAATCATAAAACGTAAATTTCGTGAATTTATTATTATCATGCCAGAAATATAAATTCTCACACTGAAAATTCACATATTTTCCATATATCCCTGGCACAATCGAGTTCTATAACGTTGGGTACTAAACCCAGTTCAGAGAGAAATCAACAACAAAAACCAAGCCCAATTAGTCATCAACAAATTCAAACAACGTAAATTTCTTGAATTTATTGTTAAATTCTAACACTGAAAATTCACAGATTTTCAATATATATATATGGCAGACAAAATCGAGTTCTATAACATTGGGTACAAAACCCAGTTCAGAAATCAATCAAACCACACACACACACACACACACACACACACAAAAAAAGGCATTAAAAATTACCATCTAAAATAGTAGGGCTATGATGGTGGTCCGATTCAGTGCTTGATCTCCATGACGGTCTTGAACTTGGGTGCGTAGAGTGAATACACGACAGCTTGTCTTCGGGCAACCTCGAGCTGAGACTTTCCGACGGAGAAGGCAGCGGAGATGGCCGAGGGGTCAGCGAGGTCTCTGTGAAGTCGAAAAACATCGATTGTTCGACGCTTCGTGTATTCCTTCATGTTGTAGTCCGCGAATTCACGGGCTATTCGGAGGAGAGAGCGCAAGAGTGAGACTACTTCGGAGCGCCCGCCTGAAGTACTGCCAGTGACATTTCTAGAGAGCAGAATGAATTACAAAGAGAGGAATAGTGCTTGGGACCTTTTTGGGGTCACCCGCTCAACCCTGCCACGTGGCAGGAGGTATTTGGTGGAGCAAGAAAAAAAAAGGAAAGAAAAAGAAAAAGGAAAGGTAGTCAATGTGAAAGAGAGGGGGGTCAAAGAGGGTGGGAGGAAATGGGAGGATGAATCATTACTCACAAAGAGAGAGAGAGTTCTTTACAAAAAGAAAAATAACTGAAAGCTCGAAATTCGTGGCTCGATTTTGGCTTTTGCCATTTTTTTTTTTTTTTTCTTCTTTTTCTCCGTTTTCTTTCTCTTCGTTTTCTTTATTTCTTTTTTTCTTCTTCTTCGTTGAACACAGGCGAGAGAGAGCAGAGCAAAGACGAGAGAGAAACAGAGCTCGGTCAAAGAGGGTGGGGGGAAAAGGGAGGATGAATCATTACTCACAAAGAGAGAGAGTTCTTTACAAAAAGAAAAATAACTGAAAGCTCGAAATTCGTGGCTCGATTTTGACTTTTGCCATTTTTTTTTTCTTCTTCTTCTTTTTCTCCGTTTTCTTTCTCTTCGTTTTCTTTATTTCTTTTCTTCTTCTTCTTCGTTGAACACAGCGAGAGAGAGCAGAGTAGAGACGAGAGAGAAACAGAGCTCGTCGAACACAGCTCGTCAGCGTCGTTGAACACAGCTCGTTGGCGTCGCAGCTCATCGCTCGTCGCTCAGCCCCGCCTCCGCCTCCACCTCCGATTTTGATAGCCCCCTCCAGTCCAGTTTTTCTTCTCCTTCTTCTCTTCTTCTTCTTCTTCCTTCTTCTTCTTCTTCTTCTCTTCTTCCTCTTCTCCGAATTCGGGCCAAATTCGAGCTACGAATCAGAGCTCTTACAAAAATCGGAGCAACGTTTGTTTGAGTTTTAAAATTATGATATGTGAATAGTGTTACACTTACTTATTTTGATAATTTATTTAATTATATTTTAATTTATTTGAAAGAGTTTATTTAATTATATTTTAATTTATTTGAAAGAGAAAAATAAAATTTAAAATTTATTTTGATGATTTATTTAATTATATTTTAATTTATTTAAAAAATATATATAATCAAAATTTATTTTGTCTCATTATTTTTAACCTAAACCTTTCTCCTAAATGTTGTTAGAATGTATTTAATATTTGATTAAATCAAGAGTTCAAACAGCCCAAAACAAAAGTTTAAACAGCCCAGCCCAGCACAGCAGCAGGCCAAAAGGTTCAAAAGGTTCAAGTGGAAGATATTTAAATTTGTAATGATGGGAACAACAGCTATAAATTCAAATGAATACAACGGCTATAAACGACTATAAGTTTCATTATATATACCAAAGCCTCTAATGTAAACAAGTTACAAAAAAAATCAAAAAATATTCTTTGATTTATAATCACTCACATCTATTCTCTGAAAAATTCTTTGAGGAGTGTTCTTCAATTTTTGTTTACATCATCTTTCAGAAATTATACACTGAGATATATAGTTTTAAGCCTATCTTTCCTGTGTGAGGTTTACAGAAAAATCAGAGCTTCATTTTGTATATTTATCTGAGAGAAATATTTATTGTAAGCTTTCTTTGAAAGCAAAAATGTCATTTCATCTTGTAAAAGTGTTGCAAACACTATGTTCTTGAGATCTTGATAGTGATTGTGAATCACCTAAGATTTGCAAGGGTTTGGACTTGTGAAGTCTGTGTAAAATCTATGGAAGATTACTCCATGTTTATGAGGTTACTAGCACCCCTGTGAAGCTTGAAGATAGTGAAAAATTTCAAGTGAAACTTGAGGAGTGGATGTAGGCTTGGTTGAAACCGAACTACTATAAATCTGTTTGTCTCATCTTCCCTAATCTCTTTATTTTCCTACTACTGCTATAGCTATTTAATATTCACGTGTTAATCATTCGATTTACCCTGTATATTAGTTATACTTCATTGTTATTTTGCTTGATCATTTACTGCTAAGTTCATCATTGTGCTTGTTAATAATTTGTTGTACTAGTAGTTAATTTTATTGGGGTATTATTAATTTTAGGGAAAATTACATATACCCCTCGAGATTTGGCTAAATTACAAACACCCCTAAGGTTTGAGAAATTATAAATTTCCCTCCGAATGCTATATTTGCATAACAAATTATGGGGTAATTTGTTATGAAATTTAAACCTTTAGGGGCAAATTGTAATGAAAATACAAATCTCAGGGGGCGGGATGTAATTTTTGAAATCTCAGGGGGTATCTGTAATTTAGCCAAACCTCAAGGGAGGTATATGTAATTTTCCATTAATTTTAATTTGTAAAAACCTAATTCACCCCATCTTAGGTTGCTTTTGGGTAACAAATAGGATTAGTATTTTGTATTTGTGAGTTTTGAAATTATGATTTGAAAAGAGAAAATTTGTTTGGTTATGAATTTTGAAAAGAGTTTTGAATTGAATTTTGAATTGAGTGTTGAATTTTTTAAATGAGTTTTAAAATAATAAAAAAAGTTGTTTGATTATGAATTTTAAAAAGGATTTTAAAATTTTAATTTAAAAACTTATAACTCATAACCAAATTCACAACTTAAAAAAACTCATAACTAAATTTTTTTTAAAATTCAATTTTAAAAAATTACTATTGAAAAATTTTATTTAATTTTTTTTCACATAATAGCTAGAAAAAAAAAAATCACTGTTACAATCAACCGAACGTCCAAAAAGATGTTTTGGAGGATGATTGGGTACATTCAAAAGTTCAAAAATTGTTTGAGAGGATATCCGGACAGACAACCCGTAGACCAAATTTCGAAATTCAACATTCAAATACTTTGTCTGGCATCTATATTCAAGAAAGAGTTTTCAAACGTAAATGTAAAATTAATTTTTAAAAATTATATCCAAACACAACACTCAAATATGAGTATAAAATCATGATTACAGCTCTACACCAAACACTCAGGTCCCCAAGTTAAAAGAAAAATACTCATATTTGCACTTATCAAAAATTTCCTAAACAATAAATGTACTAATCAACACATTAAATAATTTTAAAATTTGGGATGGGACGGTCTCCTTCCATAATTGAATTGGACTGGACTAAACTGTTCACTCCGATTTAATAGATTTAATTTTCAACAATGCTAGAGGGCTACAATTTTTGTGGCCACAATGGCTCAAAACTATCAAAACGACGTCGTTTTGACATGTTTTGCACCCAAAACGACGTCGTTTTGACAGTTTTGAGCCATTGTGGCCACAAAAATTGTGACCCTCAAACATTTTCCTTTAATTTTGAGTTTTATTTTGATAATTTAAATTATTTATATTTTAAAATTCGTTAAGTATGTTAATTTTTTTTTTTGTAAAATATCAATTGATTTGATAACAGAAACTACGTATCCGAATCAATTTTATATGAATTATTTATTTTTTTACCGTCTATTTTTTTTTTCATGTAAAACTAATCTAAATACATAGTTGCCGTTATCGTATCGACTTGATTTTTTACAAAGATGATATATTTGACGAATCTTAATGTATAAACAATTCGAATTATCGAAACGGAACTCAAAATTAGACCCACAAGGCCCAACAACACCACTCCAATTCGATGAAAGACTGGAGAGAAGCCATAGCCTTCAAATTTAATATTTTATTTATTACACAATTATCTCAAAAATTCTTCCACTTTCTTTTAACTTTCAAACCTTAACTTTGAGGAAAGATTATGGTACACATCCGGTTTATTATATACATTTTGTAACTAAAAAAATAGCATAATTCTATACTTTTTGAGTCCTAACTAAAAAAAATATAAAATTATAACCAATATCACACGACACATAATCAAAAATCTCACGAGTCATAATTAAAATATTGTCATAACTAAAGAAAAAAAAGTAACCATTACTATAAAAAAAAAAATAACATAACTAACAATGCATAGAATACATCTCTTTCAAGAGATGTGTATTGTAAAATTTCCCCTTAACCTTGACACCATTTTTTGTTCTCTTTCACCTTCGCCACCTCTTCTCTCGACCACCACTATCTACTTAATATCTCTCACCTTCTGTCCGATATGCTCAACTAACCAAATTTATTCAATGATGGTACTTTGAATAAATATTATTGGTTCAATAGTTAATATCCCACCAAATTTTATTGCTTTGGTAATTAAAAATGAAATTATCAGTGTTGTTATCACATTACAATAACCTTATTACTACTTTAATTAAAAAAATAAAATTATCCTCTTCGTCTTCTTCTTTCTCTCTTTGCCCTCTCTCAAAATTAGTCACTGAACCGCCACCACTAATGACCCATCATCACCCAACTGCCACCACCATTCTCACTTCTATTCCATGTCACTCACCTCCTAATCATCACCTTCAACCCCTATCATTATGAATCCATCACCTCTCATCCTCTTTCTGATGAGCCACCATCACCCAGCACCTACCTCCCGTATCACCAGAATTTGCAAGAGAAAGAGAGCCACCATCCTCACCAACCAAATCAAATCCAAACTTCCCCAATCAAACCCCTAGAAAACAAAAGATTTGTTCACACTAAAAGTCATCCGCTCATCAAATCTTGGTTTAATACTCACTTGTAAATAAATAATTAATGTCAGAAATTTTCAAATCAAACCCGTTAAATATCAACGTGAAGAAATGGTGGTGATGCAAGTGTTGAGGCATTTGGCATCCAATAACAAAGATCGGGTGACGATGACAGACACAATTGTGATAGGAGTCGTGAGAAAGGGAAGGCATTGTGGGTTTTCTCACGTAATTGAAGAGATACTACGTCATTGTATTTCACAAGGGTAAATTAGTATTTTCACTAATTTATTGTTGGCACAAGTAAAATCTATTGATTAACTTAACAATTTACAAATAAAAAGAAAAAATTGTAATGCAACTCTAAACTTGAGAAAAGGGATCTAATTTGTCGTGTATTTTATTGGAAAATTCCATTAGTAGAAAAATCTGCCTACTAATATTGAGCAGTTTGCAAAATTTCACATTTTTGTAAATCCATATATTTATGCTGTCTTTGACAGGAAGATTTAAGGAAGAATTTGGAATGGTAAAGAAAAAAATTAAGTGAAATGTAAATAAAATATACTTAAATTTCACCTAATTTCACAAACATTTTTCTTTTTTCTTAAAAAATACTTCTAAATCTCACAACTAAACACAGCGTTAAAGGATGCAAGTTAGCATCTATATTCATAATACAAATCTAATCTCAAACTTTTAGCTGTATACAATACAATATCACAAGAAGAGAGTTAAAAAATTAAAATAATAATAATAATAATTAAAAAGAAAAAGAACAAATGGACTATGCAAGTTGAGGAAAGAATGAAGAAAAAATGGCAGTGAAAGAAGGCAAGCGAGGCAGCAAGCCAACGTCCAACATCAGGTGCGAAATCCATATGCAGCTTCTACTTCCCAAGCAAACGCCGTGCCCGTCGATTGCCGTCTAACACACGTTGATTTACCACATCCACATCCTGCTCAACGTGACTCAGAGCTCCAATTTGGCTGCAACAATCACCGCATTTACAATTAAATTGACAACAAAAGTTGGGGCATCACTATACCTAACTAAATGGCCGAAATTCAAAGTTCAAGACAAGGCTATATATATATATAGCGAGAATTATGTGATTAAATCTATGAAACTAACCTATCAATTTCAGATCCCATGTCAAGAGCCATATCTTTCAAATCTCCCAATAGATTACTTAGATCTGAAAGCCCATCATCTTGCTTTGCCTTCTCTTCCTGTTGCGATTATACATTTGATCAATGATAGACTTTGATACATTTAATCAACTGATGATAGATTTTGCCCCTGTTGGGAATCAGCATACCACAATTAAATAATTTTAGATCCATTCATCATAAACCATTGATTAGGGAAGAGAAGTTTTGCATCCTAATTATTGTGTGGGAATGAGTCATTTCCAACCTCACTATTCAACCAAAGAAGTCAGGCTTTAGATCAAGCAAGGCTACTAACTCCAAGAAGAGTGTACCCAAAGGCGTGGAGGTGGTTCGGGTTCAGTGTAGTTTATTTGCTCTTATCCCTATTGGGATTGTGAGGGGCATTCTTTTAGGTTAGGGTTTTGGAGCGTGGATTTTTTGTTGGTTGGTGTGCTTGGCTATTTTGTGTGTGCTCGTTTTGGGTTGTGTGTTGAGCCTCCATATATATCTTTTCTTCTTCTTTTTTTTTGCTTCTCTTTTTTTTTTTTTTTTTTTTTTTTTTTTTTTTTTTTTTTCTTCTTTTTTTTTTTTGTATCAAGCGCACGCTTACCAACAAAAAAAAAGTGATTAGAATAACGTACGAACAGAAGGAAGAAGGTGCTGAAACCATTCCTTGAAACCCTTTAGCGAAACATACGTCTATTTACTCCAGCGTTCATCTCAGGGTTCATCAATTTAAACCCATTTTTTACGGTAAAAATGCTCAGTGGCCACTTCAATCCAATCTATTGAGCATCTTGAAGTGATTTAGTTTCGGTATTTAGAATACACAAAACAAACTGATGTAGTTCCATAAATCAACCAAAACACATGGAAAAACTTCATTTCCTGCTCTGTCCATATTTCAAATAAACTTTTTTTTTTTTTGTTGGCTGAATCAATAATCATAAATAAACACAAACCTCAACTTTCTGCAATGCATTAGCGGGTTCAGGAGGTGGTGTCCGCTTATTTGACTGTCCCTTGGATGTAGGGCCCAATCCCAATCTCTCCCGCTGCTCCAAGTGGTTACCCTTTCTATGCCCTGGATCATCTGCAAAAACCAAAACATAAATCAAACACAAACGGCAACCAATCACCCACCAACTTCCAGACCACAAGTGGGCAAACAAAAAGACTTGATTTTCTAGCATAGAAAGTAATGAACAAGCAAGAGAAGAAACCTCTTGTGATCACAGGTCCCATTATTGGAGGAGTCCTTTTTGGCTTCCATGTCTTGGAGAAGACACCCCCGAGACTTCCTAACAGCTTCTCACTCTGAACTCAAACATCAAAACAATGCAAAGTGTCTTCTAAGCAATAACAACCGGTGAATTAAACTAAACCAGCACAAACACCTTAACAATTCTTGAGCATAACGGGTGCTAAAAATATACCTTCTAGGTCAAAAAACAAACATACACTGTATAATCATCCAATTCTTCATGGACTAAAGGACAATCTAATACAGTTTGCAGCTAGGTAGAATAAGTGCCTACTCTCTCTGTTGTGTTTTCCTTTTGTATGTTTCATGTGGATCACCCTTTTGTTTTTCAATTTTTTATTTCATATTTCCAAGTTGTTAATGGTAATCTCAACAAAGTGCTTATTTCATTTAGCAGCAAAGGGTAATGGCAGTGTGTCATTCCAAACTTTAACCAAGTATTTTACAACACTGGTAATAGTTCTCAACATAGGCATTAATTGAAGTAAATGTTTGTCCTGGTTACAATCATACTAAACACAGTATATACATTAGTCATTAGTAACTGCTTTCCTTTTCCCAATATGGGAACAAGGTCGAAGCCACATAAAATCAAACTTTGATAGACAAGCTCACAAGTTCTAAATTTTTTGTTAAAAACACTTCATAGTATCCAAAACAAACCAGTAATTCAGAAAATTTAGATCTCCATATACTAATTAGGAACTTGAAATACCATCTTGAAACATAAGACTTCCATCTTATGCTATATGGCAACTTCATATTTTTCTTAGCTCCTAGTTGTACCTATTAACGTCAAAACTAGGCAACAAAATAATATTGAAAAAGTGCATGAGCCATACCCTACTAAGATCATGATCGATGTCAGCCGCAACCATGTGAGTCCTGGAGATTTGCTCCCCCTGCTGATGCAAGGCGACCAAAGTCTTGGTAGCATCCTCTCTCATGTCCTCCGCTATCTTCAGGCAACTGTTGACTGTTTTTGTAGTCTCCTCAGCTTTGTATACAGCATAATTTTCCAATTCTTGGACACTCTGATTCTCTAATCCTCCCGAATCATGGAAATTATTCTTGTATCTATTTCTTGCTGTTGAAGGAAGTGCATAAGAAGACGAAGAGGTCCTTTCTCCTCCATTATCATCAAAAGAATTGGCCCTGGATTTTGGGGTATCTAGCGAAGGTTCAGGAGGAGTTCTTTGTGTGGGTTTACGGGTGGTTTTGTTATCTAACTCATCATCAGAATCAAAAGGGTTGGAGCTAGAATAGCCAGGGTGTTTAGGGTTAACTGAGTTTTGTTTAGCATTCTTGTTCAAGGGAGATTCCTTAAGACCGAACATTTTCGAGTGGCCAAAAATGTAAAAGTTGAACAATTGTTTGAAAAAACTGATATTAGAATTAGGCAAAGGTTAACCAAAATTGATACACAGACTTCGCTATGTGCCTGAGCAAACAGAGAAGATCAAACTGTGAGGTTTTGTGTGATACAAAAGTAACAACAACAAAAACACAAGGACCAAATAATGCATTTTGTTAAAAATGAGTAAGACTAAAGGAGATACATATGTTTTCATCTGTTATTAGAATCGTATGATTCATAATTCGAATTGTACGATTCGATTCAGTGGGTAATCGATAAAAACTAGTTGTGAATCGCAAATAGCTATGAATAGTAGGTGAATCGGTGAATCATGAATAGATTTGATTCACTGAAATCAATGTTTGACTTTCTTTGTCTATTTTTTATTGTTGGAAAAGGATTCACACAATCTTTTTGAAGTCTTTGAAGTCTTTAGGATTACAATATGCTATCTTTTGACTTTCTCCCTCCTATTTACTCATAATACACCAAAACTGGAAAACCCAATATAATCAAGATGAAGCAACATAAAAGGGGATGAAAAAAATGATCCAAAACAAAACCCAAAGCAGAAAAGGCACATACAAGAAAGAACTTGAAAGTTGACAATGTTTTCTTAACATTCCTCAGATTGAGGGAAATAATAATCTAGATGGTGATGTAAAGTAAATGAACTCAACCCCAAATACAAAATTTTTAAAAATAAAAATAAAATTACTGTACTGAGCTCCATTGTTTTTGCCCATTGTAGAAAAAGAATAGGGTTTGGGGGATAATTTATAAAAAATCACTCAAAACACAATTCAAGTCAAAGCCAGGCAAAACCCAAGATGCATAATTTTCTTTCTTTCTTTCTTTATTCAATTCTCCTGATTTTTCTCAGAAACCAAACATGAGCATATAAAGGAGAAAAATCAAACCCGTGTGAAGAAAAAAGGTAGCTGAAACTCCAAACTACAGTACAAAGACAAGTTCATGGAAATATCAAATACACATAATTATAAATAAATCAAGAAAAGAAAAAGAAAAAACAATAGGAAACATATCTACATAATCTGATTAATTGAGTGAAAATCGAACACCAAATTGAGCGTACGACACTTACAAGAAGAAGAAAATATGGAAAATTTGAAGTGACCCAATATACACAAGATAAAAAGGATTCAATTTGAGATATTCAAAACCCAGAAAGAGAATCATCAAATGAAGAATCAGCAAGTAGAAAGATTAAATCTTGGAGGTACCTGAGAGAACCCACCAAAACTGGAGAAAATCTTGGAGGGTTAACGCAGACCCAGGTAGAGATAGGCAATCAAGAAAGAGAAAATCTAGAGAGATAGAGAGAGAGTTGGGAAGATACAAATGGGGGAAGAAGGAGGAGGACACGTATAATGGGGAAAGAAAAAGGGGAGGACACGTACAAGAAGCAAGTCTAGAAAGAGGGTTTGGAAGCAGACTTTTCAACTTTTCCACAAACCCACCCCCCTCTCAACATTTGACAAAATCAAACCGTTTCCATTTACACGCTCAAATTAGGATAAAAAAATAGAAAAATGCTTCGGACCCACTAGGGGTCGACCCCAGTGAAGTAGCACGTTGTGATTGGATAAAAAAAAATTTGTTTTATTATTATTTTTTTTTTAGTTTCAGCTAGTAGGGCTCGTCACCTCACTGGGGGTGCGACCCCCACTAGGAGTCTGCAGCATGGTTGAAAAAAATAAAAGTAAAGTTTCTTTTGATATTAGCTATGATAGTTAATTTTTTTTGTGTTAAGGATTTTTTAACTTAACTTTTTTAGTTTCATTTGATTTTTGTTTGAGTTTTTTTTTTTTATTTTTATGACAAAAAAATGTAATAATTATGATTTAAATATGATATTTTGTCTTATTAATTTATATAACTTATTTTATCTTTTGTATTTTTTTTAGTCCCAAAATATTTACTAAACGAGGACTAAATTATACTAGTCCATATAGTTTTGAATTTGCATTATTTTGGTGTTTCATTTTTTAATTGTGATATATTTTATTCTAAATTTTGAATTTTGTTTCAAATAAGGATAATTAAATATACTATTGCTCAATTTTAAGGATAAAGTTGTCAATTTGATAAAATATAAACTAATTTAACAAAAATAAATGTCAACAAATTATTTTTTAATTTTTAAAAATTATTTTTACCTACTAAAGATAAAATTATGTAAAATTAATAATTTTTTTACCAAATTAATTTTTATTATGTGTTTGGATAATGATCATGTAATGGATGGTTGTTTTTATTTTCATTAAATTAGTTTCTATTTTTTCAAAGATCAAATATGGCAACAACTTGGATATCATTATTAAAACAAGAATAATGCTATATGTGCTAATTAATGTACTAACTAGTATATAAACAGATGATGTGACATAATTTTAAAAATTTTGGATATTTGTGATTTATATAATAGGTGGGGTCAATAATAATGGTATAACATTAGTTGGTACACTAGTGTGTACATTAATTGATATATGTAGCATCATCGTTAAAACAATCCATTAAATTAAATCATAAACCAAAACTAAAAACATTTATATTAAATATATTGATTACACATTAAAAGCCTAACAATCATTCATTACATGATCATCATCTAATCACATAATAAAAATCAATTTGGTAAATAATATAAATAAATGTGTAAAAGATTTATCAATTTTATATAATTTTATCTTTAGTGTGTAGAAATAATTTTTAAAAATTCAAGAATATTTTTTTGACATTTATTTTTATCAAATTAGTTTATATTTTATCAAATTGTTACCCTTGAAATTTAGCAATGATATATTCAATTGTCCCTATTTGGAATAAGATTCAAAATTCAAGTTCAAAAAAGTCAAGGACTAAAGTAATATAAACCCCAAACTATAGAGACTATTAATGTAATTCGCCCAAAAATAAAATAAAATAATTTATTAGTTTTTTTTTTTTTAACTTTTTTTTTTTTTTAAATTTGTAAAAAAACATGGAGGGGTGATACCATTCAAATGAGTTAGTAAAACTTTTTCCTAGTTGCTAAACAGCGCTGCTACGTAACTCAAAAGGCAACTGGCCCGACTGACTCGAATCCAAAATGACATCGTTTTAATTTTTTTTTTCCCCCAATTTCTTTCTTTCTTTCTTTCTCTTTTCTTATCTGTTTCTTCTCTTTTTCTTCTTCTTCTTCTGTTCAATGAATATTGTTCATCTTTTCCTCTATTTATCTCTTTCTCTCCCTCTATTCACAATCACCAAACTGAAATCAAAATCAAAATTTTTTTTTCTTCCGACCAACCAACAGTCTACAAAGAATAAGAAGAAAGAAGAGAGGAAAGAGAGAATCAAAACCAAAAAATTAATCAGACAAATCAAAACCAATCAGACCGATCAAAACCAAAAAATCAATCAGACAAATCAAAACCAATCAGACCGATCAAACCCAAAAATCAAACTCACCCACCGAGAGAGAGAAAAAGAGAGCATCAACATCAACGATAACACATCATCATCATTATCAACAACAACAACACGTCATCATGATCATTATCAACACATCATCATCATCATCTTCCTGTATCTGTCTTGCTCTGTTTTTTTTTTCTTTTCTTCTTCCATAACTCAGAACAAAGAGAAAGAGAGAGATACAGAGAGAGAGAGAGAGAGAGAGAGAGGTACACAGATCTATACAAATATGTGTATACACAGATTTGTATATACACACAGAGGATGGCGGTGCCGGTGATGGCAGTGCCGGTGATGGGTGCCTTTCTCTTCTATCTTCCTCTCTTTTCTCTCTCTTTCTCTTATTCTCTCTTCTCTCTTTTCATCCCTCTGTTTTAGCGATATAAGAGGGAAATGAAAAAAAAAAGAATACCCAAAACGACGTCATTTTGGGTATTCAAGCCATTTCGGACCAAGTTTTTTTCGAGTTATAAAGGATTATTCGTTGCCAAAATAGGTTTTATGGTTGCAATTTTTGAAGGGTCCTACATTTTTTTATTCTAATAATATATATATATATATATATTTGAAAATTCTATAGAAGGGGTTTGACGTGTCAATAAAATATAGGTACTCATATTTTCTTATTCAGTGCTTAGCTTTGACTTTTTATATTAGGACTGAGGTCTCGTTTGGGAACAGGCTTTTTTAGTAACTTTTTGATTTTTTGATTAAAATGTGATGTAAAAATAAAACTATATGTTTTGGATGACTTTTTGACTGTTTACGAAAAGATGTGCAAAACATAGAGAGAAAAGAGAATCTTTGACTTTTTGGTATAGGTTATTGGTTTTTTGATTTTTTTAGTAACTTTTTGACTTTTTGACTAAAACGGACACTTGCCAAGCGAGGCCTGAGTATAGGATTATCTGACCTATGAAAATCACCTAACCCGAACTGTCCGCACTTGTTTTGGCGGTTTCGCAAGATTATTAGGGTCAAATGCGGTTTAGGATTTTTCTATTTTGCGGGTCGCGGGTTTTACCCTCACCTGTTTGCATCTGTATACAATTTATTTTATTTTATTTTAAAATCTGAACTATTAGATTTTTTTGTAAGTTTTGTAAGTGTGTAACTCTAATCTTCTCTCCTGTCACTCACTTTAATCTAATTATCAAACCTATAGGCTCTAACATTATAACATTATAATAATATCACACACTGCCTTATTTGAAATACTTATTATTCAATTGAAATTTTTTCAATTTTTTACAAATCTAGTTATGTGATTTTTTTTTTGTATTAGTTTTTATTTAATTTTTTGTAATCCAGTTTTAATGAGAATCTTCCGCAATAAAAAATATTTTTAAAATAGAAAAAAAATTAAGTCAAAAATTTTTTTTTTAAAGGAAAAACTTCAATTCACAAACTCCAGCAACCGTCTGCACATCTACGAATCCTATTCGCACAAATTGCAACCTGCATTATGGGCGATTGCGAATTCAATTTTTTCCAAACCGTAGACATGCGAAGAAGTCCAAATCGCAAACCAAACAATTAAAAATTAATCCATGAGCAACTCTACTTCATATACATTTTAGTAAGGTTAAAATTATTTTTTAGTGTTAGCTTTCGCCTTGATATAAATGTGGTGAGTCTCCTAATTGTTATTGTGGTGAAATAGATTTAGAAATATTCCGGTCCAAATAGACCTTGATCCTCTCTTTTCTAAGAATTTGATTATGTCTCTCTTGATCTTTTTCTTTTCTCCCCAATTCTCGCTCCCTTCGTAAGATTATGGCTCCTTCTCTTATAATGTTTCCCAGGGGCCCTCCAGGGGCCCATTTCTTTCTTCTGGGCCTCTTCCTCGTCCATGGGCCTCCATGCAGCCCATGGGATATACGGCTATAACGGCCCTTTAACTTGGTTTTACTCGGTTACGGCCCTTCCTTGATGGACCTGTCATGGGCCGACTTGTATTCGACCACCTTTTCCGTTGACACATGGGTCGGTGGGCCGTCTACTAGGCGATTTATGCCATTTTCTTCAATTGGCCGGCTTATGAGTTTTCCTTAATCTTATTTATTCAGCCACAACAATTGCCTCCCGAACACCCGATTAATATCTGTTTAGTAGGCGTGGTCAATAACCACATATTTTTTTGGCTTAGAGTTATTAGACCTCGAGAATCGAAAATACGGCGCACGTACGCTTTTTAGTACTGATACGTCAGAACAGGTGCGATATGAAGTCATCATTGCTTCCCGCCCCTTCATATTTGACACTTATTTAATGTGATTTAAAAATTGTCCCTCCGTATGTTTTAAATCTTGGCTCTTTAGCATTCTTCACACTGTTCTTCCTTCTTCTAGACTTCTGCAATTTCAACTTTGCTTTTCATTGCTTTTTCGCTCTGACCTGTAAGTCCCCTTCCTCTTTTGCTTGCGTTCCAGTTTCCTTGTGTGTTTTTTATATCTTCTTCTATTCCGTCTTAAATGGCGACTCATTTGAAAGCTCTCTTCTCTGAGAAGCGAGTCGTCACCTTCTGTCGTCACTTTTCAATCCCAGACGACGTCCATTTGTCCCTTGTTGTAGACAATGTGATTGACATGGAGAGGGCTAATGCAAACACCATCATCTTTCCTCTTCTGTTAATTGCTAAGGATGGAGCTTGTTTCCCCTACATCCTTTCCTTAGGAGTGTTCTGTGTTACTGGGTTCTAATCCCCTCTCAACCCAATATGAGTTTTTACAACATAATCATGAGCTTAGTAGAATTGAACCTCCTACTTGGGCTTAACCTGGGAATCCCAGCCATTCAGCACTGCTATGTTATAGCGAAATCAACTGGTAGCCAGGGCCGTTACTTCCTTAGAGCCAAAGACATAGATCATCATTTTGTGACTATACTTGCCAACTCTGGCAAAAAAGTTGACGACGTTATGATTGTCGTACAGGGAAATTGGGAAT